CCCCCCCCCCCCCCCACAGGCCGAGTGGACCGAACCAGGTATTCTGCTCCAGTTATGAAAACACAAATAACTGCGAATTCAAAGCAAATATTTATCTTGTTTTAGCTCAAATAACACAAACAATACCTGACCCCCCCCCCCCCCCACACACACACACACACACACACACCCTTATCACGTCAGAGCAGCTGAATTTCTTTGGGCTGTTTTTGCATCAGACTGATGAGCGCGCGGTATTTAGGAGGCTGAATGTGGATTAAAGAAGATTTTCACGCTCTAATGTTCCTCCTCTGCCTAATCCCATAATCTGTCCGCGGCTACAATGTGTTGATTGTCACTAATGCGGGTTATTGTCCCATCAAAATTATAAATCGACTTAATGTCGGCATTAAAAACACCAGGTTTTATTAAAACAAAACTCTCTGCTAGATTAGGTAAATGGGTTTTAGCTGCGCCATCATTTATTGTTATTAAGTTTTGGGTCAATACATTTAATATATTTATTTTCATAGTATTATAATTATTATAAATAAATGACAAGTTGATTAATTCGTTTATTCAGCCTTTTATTAAAATAAGACTGAAGCTGAGGTTTTTTTTGTAAAGCTTTAATTAAAAAATAAACTATTTTTATTTAGATATTTTTATCATCGGATTTTAAAATTAAAATAATAATTAAATCAATATTTTCACTGTCTTTTCTTCCGGCTTGCAGGCGCTTTGGCACGAAGTGCGCGGGCTGCCTGCAGGGCATCTCCCCGAACGACCTGGTGCGCAAAGCGCGCAGCAAGGTGTTCCACCTGAACTGCTTCACGTGCATGGTGTGCAACAAGCAGCTGTCCACGGGAGAGGAGCTCTACGTCATCGACGAGAACAAGTTCGTGTGTAAAGAAGACTACCTGAGCTCCGGGGCCATCAAGGAGGTCAGCCTGAACTCAGGTGAGCCGACACCTCCGCGCGACACGCGCCAGGCCGTGGCGCGGGAACCAGTAAACCAGGCGTGTCCGCGGACAAATATTAATTTAATTTAAAATCAAAATGAAAATAAACATTTTGGATCTGGAGCTTTGTTGGGATCCCTCCGACCTTTCTCTTCGACAGGTTTGAGTTTTTGCGCGTGTCTTCTCTCTGTCCCATAAAACAACCTGGCGAGGACCGCTGTGTCCTCAGGGTGTCTCCGTCCCCTGCTCTCACGGAGACACAATGTTCACTCACGCGCAATAATTCATTTTTAATTCTTTCCGTCTCCGTTTGAAATTTATTTTACTTATTGCTACAATTAAACCATCCATCCATCCATCCATTCATCCATCCATCCATCCATCCATCCATTCATCCATCCATCCATCCATCCATCCATCCATCCATTCATCCATCCATCCATCCATCCATCCATCCATCCATCCATTATCTTTTATCCGCTTCTTCCTGTTTTAGATCGTGGAACATTTAAACCTGATAAATAAAAATAATTTGGCATCAAAATAATTGTTCTATTTCATTCGATTATTTTTTTTCCTCCGCTGCATTATTATTATTTTTTATCCCACTTTCCCACCCCCACACCACCACACACACACCTCCGTGTCTGATATTTCGTCTCGTGACCTTCCTCCGGTTTGTTTCAGTGTCCTCGTGCACGGACAGGAGTTTATCTCCGGACCTGCAGGACCCCACGCAGGACGACATAAAGGAGACGGACAACTCCACCTCCTCCGATAAGGAAACGAACAATATAGAGAACGAGGAGCAGAACTCGGGGGCCAAGAGGCGGGGGCCCCGCACCACCATCAAGGCCAAGCAGCTGGAGACGTTAAAGGCGGCCTTTGTGGCCACGCCGAAGCCCACGCGACACATCCGGGAGCAGCTGGCGCAGGAGACGGGCCTGAACATGCGCGTGATCCAGGTAAGATCCGGGTCTGAGACAGGCTGTGGACTCTGTGAGCGTGCGCGCGCGCGCGTGTCACGGAGACAAAGACAAATTAGCGACAAATGACGGATTGGGGATGAATAAAATGATTTTTAATTTTCCTGAGGCGCGCGCGGGACGTTTCATTAAAGCCTCATTATGTGTGAGAGAAATGTCCGACACGACGTGGACCATTAGAACCGGGTCGGGTCCACATCATGGACTCAGGTATTAATGATTAGAAAGTGACACTGTTTTTATTTTATAATTAGATGTTGCAGGAAGGTGCGGCACGGTGGCGCAGTGAGGTGCTGCCTCTCAGCGAATGGGCCGTCGGTTCAAATCCCAGCTGGGGGGCCTTTCTGGGTGGAGTTTGCATGTTCTCTCTGTGCATGTGTGGGTTTTCTCCACAGACTAAAAACATGCATGTTAGGCTGATTGCTAACTGTCTGTGTGTGTGAGAGAAAGAATTGTTGTTTGTCTCTAAGTGTCCCTGTGATGGACTGGAGACCTGTCCAGTGTCCCCCACCTCTCACAGTGAGAGCTGGACATGGGCACCAGAGACACCCCCCCCCCCCCCCACCCACCCAAAAAGGATGAAGTGGGTAAAGATGATGGATGGAAAAGGAGCTTCTGATAATCTAACACATTTCATTAAATTTACCATTAATGCTTCTTTAGCTTTATTTATTAATATGTTGAACTCTATTTTTCGTACAATAAATATTTTTTTCATGGCTATAGATTTAAATAAAAAGGGCACAGTTTGTTTGATCAAATCTCCCTGCTTCCATTTTTGCTCCAAGCTCTGTTTGTTTAGTAAATCTAAAATAAGGAGACTTCTCCGAGCGTCGATGAATTAACGACGTGTTTGTTCTGCAGCTGATCTGGAAATAATACACGCCATGAAATGTGTGAGAGGTTCCCCTTGTTGCTGCCAACGCTAAGAGAAACCCTCGACACAAACATGTTGTGCAACACACACACACACACACACACACACACACAGTGTGCCTTTTCAAACACACACATGCATGTGCAGCCGTGAGCTGGTGTCTGGGTGCAGACTGTGTCAGGATGATTAGCACCATCTCTGCCAACTGTGATGTGGCTTTTTGTGCACTCACTGTAATTATCACTGATTTCACAGATTTAAACCCCCCCCCCCCCCCCCCCCCCCACACACACACACACATCCCACCTCTCTGCTCTTACTCACTTACAGCCGTTTCCTCTGCATCTCCACAGCCTCATCCAGATCATATAGGCAGTGTGTGTGTGTGTGTGTGTGTGTGTGTGTGTGTGTGTGTGTGTGTGTGTCAGTAAGTCAGGCAGTCTCTCTTCTGTGTTGCTTGGAGCCAAAATGGAGGCCGTGTTTCGTCATGTCCCTGCTCGCTGGGCGTGCGTTAAGTACCACAGGTCTGGATGCGGGGAGCCCTGAGAGCCACGCTGCTCCTCCTGCACGTGGATGTAATCCCTAAACAACGCTCTCTCAAGGGAAGCGAGAGCATTTCCATAAAAATGTACCCTACAGTTAGACGATTGTTCTCAATAAGCAGGTGTTGCCTTTGCCGCTGGAGCACAAAGAGCAGAGCCTAAGTGGTTTGGGCTGTTTTCCTGTGAGTGTGTGTGTGTTTTTGTTAATCTGCAGCACAGTGGGATTCTGCCTCTGGTGTAGCCTAGCCTGGTGTGAACATGCATCATTATGCAGCCGTGATGCAAAGGCGAAGCGCGACGTGTTATGTGCTCATAATGCAAAGACATTCCTCCATATGTTCAGTCCTGTAGTTTAAATCCTCCTTTGTTCCTCTTCAAAGACGCTTTATTCAATCATTTTGTGATTTACAGCTTCAGCTGTTTATTTGAACTGAGAGCGAGGTGCACTGGGGTGTGAGGGGACACAATTAGGCTTCTTTGACATTCATCCTAACTGTGTTTGAAAGAAACGAGCTTCTTAACTGCAACACAAACAACTCTGGATCTGTTTTTATTTGTTGCATCATTCATTTCTCTGCAGCTCCTTCGTGCTTTCTTTAAACCGCTTCGTGTCACTTCTGCACAAAATCAGATCAATAACTGTGACCACATATTTGGATTGATATTTAAAAGTTTATTTTGTGTGTGTGTGTAATTATTTTCAAGTATGTAAAAACATTGAATTATAGATAAGTCCATCGCTTGTTCAAATGGAACAATGCTGGAGGAAAACTAAAATAAATAAATCTAGAGAAATTGTATTTCCTGCAAAAATGCTGTGTGAATGCAAAGAAATTGGATTAAAAACAGCTGAAATTAACTTAAAAAACATGCTGAAATGGAAGAACAAGCCTAAATTAGCAGAAAAAAACACTGAAATGGGTTTAAATAAGCAAAAATTAGCACAAAAAATAGGAAAGTAGCTTAAAAAAAAACTGAAATTAGTACAAAAAATGGCTGAAACGTAGCTGAAAGGCAGAACAAAGCTTAATTTACCAGAAGGAAGTGGAAAGATGAAATGAGCTAAAAAATAAAAATAGTGGAATTGGCAGAAAAAGCTAAAATTAACCAACAGCTAAAAAGTAGCTGAAATGTCCTAAATGGCTGAAACTAGCATAATTAAGCTGAAATAAGCATTAAAAAACAGAAATTAGCAGAAAGAAGTTAATTAGGCTGAAAGTAGCAGAAATTACCATGAAAAACTTGAATTTATCTGAAAACAGCTGAAAAATTATAAAAATGTAGCAGAAAGGGTAGAACAAGCTTAAATTAGCAGAAGAAAGCAGAAAGAACACGTTTCCCCAATTAGGCTGAAATAAGCAGAAATGAGCACAAAAAAGTTTAAATTATGTGAAAAAGCCGAAATTAGCTAAAAAAAAATACTCATGAAAAGTAGCTAAAAAGAAGAACGAAGCAGAATTACCAGAAGGAAGTGGAGAGAGCATATTTTTTGATGAAATGGGCTGAAAAATGTTGAAATGAGTGTAAAAAAGGTGGAATTAGCTGAAAAAGCTCAAATTTGCATAAAAACAGCAAAACAGTAGCTGAAATAGTAGAAAAAGCTGAAACTTGCAGAAATAAGCTGAAGAGCCTAACAAGCTGAAATTAGCAGAAAGAAGTTAGAAGAAGCACAAAAATGTTTTAGTTAGCAAAAATAATCTGTAAGGAGCACAAAACAGCTGAAAAATAAAAGCTGAATTTAGCTGAAAGTAGCTGAAAAATGTTTAAATTTGAAGAAGGAAGCTGAAAGAAGCTGAACCGGACCAAAAAGTGAAAGGAGCAGTAAAAGGTTGTAAACAGATCTAAAGATCTGAAGGATGGAAAATGAGCTCAGTTCATTTTCTGTGAGACAAAAATGGCAGAAAAGGCTAAATATTTCAAAAAGCTAAAATTGCACCAATACCAGAACACAAAGCACCCTTCTCCTGAATGAGCTGAACATTTAGATATGGTTTGTTGAAATAGCTGAAAACTGCAGGACAAGAAACACGCTGTAAAATGTACAGAAGAGAAATGAATGGCAGTGGAGTGAATTCTTCATAAATAATAAAAATGTTTTGTAAACGAATCACAGGCCTGAAAAAAAAGTACTTTTATTTGTAAAACTTTATTTTTACTTTTTAATGTTTAATGAAAGCAGCAGCCTGACGTAGTCTTGGGGGTCACCACAGAGAGAAACTCACGATTGTTTTACGCTGAACACACTGCCTGACGCCACCTGGACTTGGACCTGCGGCCTCAGGATTAATGGACTTTCAGCATGAATTCTGAAAGAAACAGAAAAATTATTTGCTCCAGAGTGAAAACGTTAATTCAATTCAGTTCAAAAATACTTTATTAATCCCAGAGGGAAATTAAAGGTTGTAACTCAAACATGAGCATCAACATGAAGACCTGAATAAAACTTCCTGACCGGTTCTGTTTTAGGTTTGGTTCCAGAACAGGAGATCCAAAGAACGAAGGATGAAACAGCTGAGCGCTCTGGGAGCCCGACGTCACGCTTTCTTCAGAGGCCCCAGGAGGATGAGGCCCCTGGGAGGCAGGCTGGAGGACCCAGACATTTTAGGACCCGGAGCTTACAGTTACTACGGAGGTAAGGAGATCCTTCAGCTGCTGGGTCTACATGGGTTCTGTGTGGGGTCCTTTGAGTCCGGACGACAAGAACCAGGACAGAGCTGAACACTGAAAATGTAATTTACTGAAAAAATGCAGTGGAATTTGTTGATTTGTGGATTTTTCCAACAACGATGAATGGTTGTTATTTTTGCGGCTGCAGGCTCTGGTAGATGATAAAATCGTTCTGCATGAATCTAAATGACTCAGGAGGAACACGGGTCAGTAGTAAAACAGAATAAATACGTTGTTAGTAGAAATGAGTTTGTGGTGTACCAGAGGAGCTACAGCTCAGGACTTCAGCTCACTCATCCAGATGAAGCAGTTCAATATTTCGTGTCTGCTGCTCAGCCTGCTCTGGATGAACTTTGTCTCAGCTGAGCCGAAAGATGTTCAGATGGTGAAACACAAAAAGTCATTAAAACAAAATCCTCCTTTCATCATCACGACTCAATCAAATATCACACAATTACAAAACTGAGCAAGAGTTTAATATTTTATGCACCAAAATGTGATTTTTGAATTTGTATGTGATTTTTTTATTTTTATTTTACAAAATACCTGTTTCTTTATTCAGACCAGAAACATGAAGAACATGAAAGTAATCCTCCAAGTTATTCTTTTATAAATGACTTCCAGACAGATTTATTAAACATCTTCTGTTCAAACATGTTTTGTTAAGATTTGGCAGCGTTAACGTAATTGTGGACACTGTTTTTAATGACCAATCATTTGTTGATCCATCAAATTTGAAGGGATCAGATCATAAAAATTAGATCTCAGAAAAATAAAGACAGTAAAAACAAGACATGGACAGAAAACCTTCGTTGTCCCCCGTCTCCGAGCATGAAGGGAAAATTGGAAATACTCTGTCAGTTCGTCTGTGCACGTTATGAGCGTGATAAACTGAAAATTAAGTGATGTAATGACTGACTTCCATTTTGGGGAGTAGCTGCATCTACACACACACACACACACACACACACATATATATATATATATATATATATATATATATATATATATATATATGTATATTTATTTATATATAACACACATATGGAGCGGTTCGCAGCCGAGTGCGACGCGGCCGGGATGAAGATCAGTTCCTCCCAATCCGAGGCCATGGTCTTGAGCCAGAAAAGGGTAGAGTGCCCTCTCCGGGTCGGGGAGGAGGTCCTGCCCCAAGTGGAGGAGTTCAAGTATCATGGGGTCTTGTTCACGAATGAGGGAAAAATGGAGCGTGAGATCGATAGGCAGATAGTTGCAGCATCGGCAGTGAAGCTGGCGCTGTACAGGTCTGTCGTGGTGAAGAGAGAGCTGAGTCAAAAGGCAAAGCTCTCAGTTTACCAGTCGATCTACGTTCCCACCCTCATCTATGGTCATGAGCTTTGGATTGTGACCGCAAGAACGAGATCTCGGATACAAGCGGCCGAAATGAGTTTTCTCCGCAGGGTGTCTGGACTCTCCCTTAGAGATAGGATGAGAAGCTCGATCATCCGGGAGGGACTCAGAGTAGAGCCGCTGCTTCTCCACGTCGATAGGAGCCAGTTGAGGTGGCTCGGGCATCTGTTTAGGATGCCTCCTGGACGCCTCCCTGGTGAGGTGTTCCGGACACGTCCCACCAGGAGGAAACCCAGAGGAAGACCAAGGATACGCTGGAGGGACTATGTTTCTCGGCTAGCCTGGAAACACCTCGGGATTCCCCCGGAGGAGCTGGACCAAGTGGCTGGGGAGAGGGAAGTCTGGGCCTCCCTACTTAGGCTGCTACCCCCGCGACCCGACCCCGGATAAGCAGAAGAAAATGGATGGATATATACTGTATAAGGTAAATGGACTGTACTTATAGAGCTCATTTTTATCTTATCAAGACATTCAAAGTTCTTTACATCACAATCTGCGCCTCATTTACCCACCCATACAGCACACACATTGGAAGCAATGAGGGGTTCAGTGCCTTGCCCAAGGACACTTCGACATGTGACTGCTGGTGGAATAAGACAAAGGAGATGATTGTGGACTTCAGAAGGAACAAACACACCTACACCCCCCTGAACATAAGAGGATCTGTGGTGGAAGTGGTCTCCAGCTACAAGTACTTGGGTGTACACATGAATAACAACCTCAGCTGGAGCAACAACACCACCAGCCTGATCAAGAAAGCTCATCAGAGACTCTACTTCCTCAGACGGCTGAAACGAGCTGGTCTGGGAAGCTCAGTCCTCACCTCCTTCTACAGGTGTGCAGTGGAGAGCATTCTGTGCTCCAGCATCAACGTGTGGCATGGAGGCTGCACAGCTGCAGAAAGAAAAGCTTTGCAGAGAGTGGTGAAGGCTGCACAGAAGATGTTGGAGTCAGTCTCCCCACCATCACAGACATCTACACCTCCAGATGCAGGAAGAGGGCCACCTGCATCTTGAAGGACCCCACTCACCCAGCACACACACTTTTTGCCCCACTCCCCTCAGGAAGGAGGTTAAGGAGCATTAAGTGTAGAACCACTAGACTGAGGAACAGCTTCTACCCTGAGGCTGTTAGACTCATGAATCTCTAACTAGAATAATCACTGTGAAAAACCACATCATGTTGCTGCTGATCTGTTTAAATGTTGCTGCTGATCTGTTTCATGTTGCTGCTGATCTGTTTCAATGTTGCTGCTGATCTGTTTCACTGTTGCTGCTGATCTGTTTTATGTTGATGTGTTCATGCGTGCTCATCTGCTCACACGGACTAATGTTCATGTTCGTGTTGCTGTTCGACGTAATGTTTTTATGTTATTAGTGCTTATTGTGTTTTTAGTTTATGTTTTTCTTAGTTCATATCTTAGATTTTATTACTGTTTTTCTTTTACATTTTATCGTTGGATGTAACTGGGACCCTGTGTACATAATATCTGCTCCACCACATGTACCACATGAGGTGCGAATGACAATAAAGAATCTCTGACTCTGAATCGAACCCCCAACTCTCACACTGGAGGACAACTGCTCTAACCACTCAGCCACAGCTGCCTCATATAGTTATACATTTTGAGAAAACTATGCTTTCTAGTTTTTATATTGTTTAGAAGTTTAGTTTCCTCAAATGATTAGGGTGGCTGAAAAATAATCTATGGGGGACAAAGCCACCGTTGTCCACCCCCTGACTCCACCACTGCACCTGGTGGTGGATAAAATTTCTCTCTCCAAACCTCCCTCTGTTCTTCTCCACAGTGTAACTCCTCCTCGCTTGAACATCTTGCACCAAAAGCATTAAGGTTTACTTCAGTCTCTGTTCAGTTCCAGTCCAGAAAAACACTCATCTCCAAAACGACAAACATTCACTCTTCAAATATCTCAGAGACGAGAACGTCTGTGTACAACTTGTTCATCCTGAGCTGCTGACGGGACATGATATGACCCATGTGTGCAGAGGTTAATTTAGGTATCGTGATGCAACGATCGTTTCAGCTTCTCCTTTTGGTTCAGAGACAAAACAAAAAACTATAACTCAGCTCTAACTAACTCTGCACGACAACGCTCATGCTCAGTAATCCAGGTAAAACAAGCCAAAGTTAAGTCAGGTCCTCTGGACGGCTTCGTTCTGTTGAAACGTTTCGTCCTTCATCCAAAAGAGTTCATCATCAACTAACTCTGCACGAGAGAAAAACTGTTTGTTGAGAGACTGGGTTTATTTTATCTGTGAGGCAGGATAATAAAATATCTTCTGCTCAGAGGATTCCTCACTAAATGATATTTTGTGGCTAATTTAGTTTTAGTCTTTAAATAATCTCGGGAGTTCTTTGTGTTTAAATGTGATCGTCAGTGTTTGTTGTGCAGTCTGTCAGACTTTGTGTCCTCTCAGATCATTTGACCCTGATTCTGCCGTTTTGTTCTTCTTAAAACGAACGTAGAGTCGTTCACTTTAAAACAGAACAATAAATTCAAACAGAGAGATGGATTCAAACGAGCAGCTTTAATTAATGTTGGGAGAAATCACAAGAATGAAAGTAAGATCTTCTGGATTTGGGAATGTCGGCCTTTTTGAAATTATTACTGATTATTTTATTGACATGAGCCGAGTGCTTCAGTATATCATGATCTGTTGATTATGTATAATCCAAGATGCAACTCAAAGATAAAATGAGGAATTATTAGCAGAAGATCAGAAACAAAGGCTGATGTGGCAGCAAACTTACAACATGGGAAACCACGAGGAGACGTGGAGGAACAGAGCACGGCTGTGGAAACACAACCAGTACATGGACAACCAGTAAACACAAAGACGCTGCACTTAAAGGGACAGTAACGAGACGTGATGATGAACACCTGGGGGGATTGGAGCAGGTGAAGCAGCTGGCACATGAAGGATAAAACACTGGGACACACAAGAATCTGAAGAAAGAACACACACACAGGTTGTCACACTCAGGACTGACACAGCATAGAGGCTTCTCTCTTTCAAACTTTAAACACAATCTATTCTTTGACTGCTTCTAACATGATGAGTCCTCAACAATTTAAACCAGAACATTATATGAATACAGGGTGTTATTATGATAAAACTTTAATTTCACAATCAGATTGTTGATTTTTACACATTTTGCTGTGGTCTCTGTTGTGTTCATGTCATCACAGTGTTTCTTTCAGTAACACGATCAGCAGCTTCGAATGTTATCATCCGTTAAATGTCCGTTTTTAGTTGTTATCATCCCCATAGGCTGCGTTCAGACCGTCCCTCCTAGCAGGTTTAAAGGTACGTTCTTGTCGTTGATAATATGCAGCTTCACCCACGTCTATTGTGTTCGTGCGTGCTCATCTGCTCACACAGACTCATGTTCGTGCCGCTGTTCGACGTAATGTTTTTATGCTATTAGTGCTTAGCGTCTTTTTAGCTGATGTTTTTCTTAGTTCATATCTTAGATCGTATTACTGTTTTTATTTTACATTTTATTGTTGGATGTAACTGTGCGCATAATCTCGTTCCACCACATGTACCACG